GTGGGTGGGGGGCAGAGCGGGGAGCCGGGAGCGCTCCCGGGTACCGGGGAGGAGCCCTCCAGGGGGGGCACCGGAGTACTGGGGGGTTGCAACGTAGGGAAGCCGGGAGCTGCCGCCGGGTACCGGTGTCCCGGGAGCCCCCCGCAGGAAACGCTGCGGGGAACCGGGAGCCGTCCGGTAACCGGGGCAGCGCTCCGGAGCGCTGAGGGGCCCCGGGAGCCCTCCCGGGGTGCCCCCTGCCCCGATGCCCACCCACCTGTGTACCGGATGTGGGTCCACGGCACTTCGTCGCTCCGAGGCTGAAAAAAAAGAAGATAAATCCTCGTTAACGCACCGCGCGGGGCCCTCGCTTCTGCCGCTATCACTTTCGTTTCCCCACCGGGACCGGGACCGGGACCGGGACCGCGCCTCCAAAAGCACCGCAGGCAGCCTCAGCTGGCACGGTTGCTGCTAGCCTGCTCTGCTCTTTACTTGCTTTTATGTCATTATTATAAAACAGGATTTTAGAGTGGTTCCTAGCCAAGTCCAACTTCCAGCCCGGTGCTGAGCACTCCAGAGCACACCAGGTAGTGTTGGTCCTGTTTAGGAATGTTGGTCCTGTTTAGAAAAACATCCTGGTGAACATAATTGAGTCATATCAAACAGTAAGGAAGGACCTTGAGGTGCAGAGCCTCTTCTGCATGACCCCCTCGAGTCTGACTAACAGCCGGGGGTGCCTGTTTGCAGAGCGGGGACACAGATGTGCCCCCGCTGTCTCGCCCTCCTCCTGCAGGGCACTGAGAGGTGGGTTTGGCTTTATGGTTCCCTGCACTTCGGGTCAGGCTGTTACTGGATGTGTGTCTCTCAGTGGCTCCCTTACAAGTGCATTAAGACACGTTTAAAATTGATTTGCATTGTATGAGTATAACAGAAAAAGTGAATGCAAATACAGAAGTGTGTATCTTACTGATCAGATACGCAAAACACCAAGCTTCTGTATTAGATTTTTAAATCTGAACTTTGCATCTCAAACCCATCTCTCATCTTAACCACAGGAGGCCCAAATCTGTAGTCTCTTCACAACCACAACACTTCAGCATTTTGCCTGATTAAAGAGTGAAAGGTTAGGCTTGCTGCTCCGTGTTCTTCTCTTTACCTATGCCATAGGTTTCCTAAGGGAGAAGGTGGGCTGGTGAGATGTGTGTTGGGCTGACTTTCATGTATTTGGCCTCATGTGTTACAGGAACAGAGCAGCCCCTTCACTCTGAGCACAGGGAGTGTTGGAACAGAGTAGAGAGTGAGCAGAGACATGCAAATAGGCAGGTTCAGTGCTGCACCCTGGTAAAGGCAAGCGGCAGGGGAAGGAGGTTGGAACCGGGCTGCCCTGTGCGGTCTGTGCCGGAGGATGAGGTGGATGGTGGGTGCTGGTGGTGGGAAAGGTCTGCTCTGGCACCCTCTAGTGCTGCCACAGCTGATGCTCTGCCACTTGCTCCACTGGCAAGGCTGGATTTGACTACCAAATACAAGCTTTTATTGCACACTGGCTCTGGTGGAATTGTCTCCCCTGGCTTTACTGATCCTATCCATTGCCTCAGCAGCTTGAGTCTTACGCTGACTCTTTTTCTAGGCACCAAGTGCACGAGCATTTCACTCTTTGGCTCAGGCAGCTGGGATTTTCAGGTAGTTTCCCAAAAAGATGATAGCTAAGCACAGGACTGCTGAGCTTCTGAGGTCAAACAACATCCACTGCAATCTGTCCGATCTGGCCACTGGTGGACAGGGTGTATTAAACACAGACAGGTTGGGTGACGAACTTGTAGCAATTATAAGAATATCAGCCCCATTGTCACCAATGCACATTACCTGTTTTACATATCTCTGCTAGTTATTGTGCGATCTCAAAGCACTGCAATTATCTACTAGTAAATTCTGCTGAGGAGAGGACATACCTGTAGGACTGGAAGGATGTCTGGGAGCTACTAACAAAGTTAGTCACCCCTCTTTCTCTGTTCTGCCGTGCGGGAAAGGATGCCAGGAGGGCTGAGGGCACAGAGGTGCTCCTTACTGACTGCTTCAGATTTCCCTGTATCATTTACACACAGAGTTTCCACATCATTTTTGCCTGTTCTGGATCCCCAGACATGAGCCTTCCTCCTGGCTGGGACATTGTGTCTAGAGCCGTGCCACACAGCAGAAGTTTCAGGAATAGGATTGTACTGCACAAAGCGCAAATCTCGGGACTGTAGCAATACGCGCTGATTGTGAGGACCGTTGTGATCATGTGCCTGACTGCCTGTGTCATACAGATTGCAGACGACTGTGCACTGGAAGTGGGTTGTACCTTCTCCATACCAGGAGATACTAGGATTATGGCCGTATCTTCCTCACCTACATTAAACCTCTGCACGATTACTCCTCCTATACCTTTTCCTGCCCTGTTCAGGCAAAACCGTCCTGCAACAGGTCATTAGAAGCCTTTGAATTCCCAACAGCTGCTCAAGGCTTTTACCTCCCATGCATTTGTCGTCGGGGGGGGAGGGGGTCATTCACACCCCCTGATTGCACCTGTGAGTGGCTTGCCATGGCCTGATCCCAGCTGGTGTGGCAAGAGGAGGTAAGTCCAGCAGAGATGGGAACTCACAAGCCTTGCAGATGTGAAAGCAGACTATCACTACCTTTTTTTTTAACTTGCTCATTTGGAAATCACAGCTGAGGCTTGCTCTCCAGGCAGCATCATGACAGAAACCAGATCACTGTCCCTTTTTGTTAAGCATGGTCTGGGCTGCAGATGCTGACTTTCCTGAGCATGTGCCATGACATTATTTGCACTGTGTTTTCACAGAACGGTCCGGGGTTTTTTTTTTAGGAGCCATGAGGACAATGGAAAGTAATCAAATATGGTCTTGCTATGAAAAAACATAGCTATTGTCTTGCTATTAAAGTTAGCATGGCTCCCTCCAGCCCTGGAGAGCAGAAAGAGACTCTTCCCAAGAACAGGGACAGCCTCTCAGTTTCTCCCACAGACCAGTGCACCCAGCCTGCCACTCTGATGCTACTGTGCCCCTACTTCCATAAAGTCCGTCTCCCTAAACTGCCCCAAGAGACAAGTCAGATTAGTACTGCTGCCTATTTTGTAGACATTTATATGGTCGGTTCATGGTTATCCTACTGAGCCCTGTAATACCAGTGCAATGAAATCCCCCCTTGTACAGCCCACGAGACCACTCCTGCACAGCATGGTGCAGTCAAAACAGGACACTACGGTTATCTGCTTAAATAGCATGTGTTTAAAACTGAAAAGGTCCTCTGGTGACTCCCAGGGCCTGGACTTTTCATCTGCTGCAGTTGCTTCTCCTCAAGCACCCTGTTTCAGTTGTTTCTGTTGAGGAAGGGAAACTCCAGACATGTACTGTGTCCCCTCCTCAGCTGCTGCTCTCTTGGGTTTGTAAGGCTCACAGGCAGCAATGCCAGCCCCTGCCATCTTCCTCTGGAGGAGGAGGATTTGAGTTAACATTTTTACAGAAGAGATACTGAGAGATGAGGAGTCACAACCAGAGAGTGACCCAGGAGAGGTTTCTGCATCTTGAGCAGTGTGATAGCTTGCCCTTCTCTGTTGGCTTCCAGTGCAACTTCTCTCTCCCAAAGTAGTGGAAGGAGAAGACTGAACTGAGTGAAAAGTGTTATCTTTCAGTGTTATCACGGTCATCATTCTGCAGTTTAATAATCACTGTGAGACTCGGGTCAGTGAAACTTGTGCAGAGCATGAGGGTTTTCATTAAACAGCAGAGGACCCAGAGCACGAGGCCATCCCTCCCTTGCATGGTTGCATGCCTGGCTTGCTTCTCTGCCAAGTCAGTGGGAGGAAGGAATGAACTCTGGTAAGACGAAGCACAACAAGCTTTAAAGTGGTACATAGCTCCTGGAGAAGATGTGGGAGGAGAAGTAGCTAGTGCATAAGCAGCACTGAAATAGCAGTGAAAGGTTGTTGACGATCCACCAGGCTGCAAACACGTGAAAGAGGCAAATGTATTTGCTGCAATTTTTGCTAAAGTATTCCGAGTTTCAAGCGTCTCTGTTATTTATATTGTTTGCAGTGTTGTTATATGTACACAAAACTCTCTCTGGCCACATCAGTCTTTCTCTTTGCCATGTGTGTACACACACACACACGCGCTGTCCTCTGCAGATATAGATGACTACTCCTAAAGCCCAGTATATGTGCCGGCTGAGAGCGCTGAAATGTTTCAGGGGCCTTGCTAGAGCTGTCACAAGCTAGCTTGTGACATATAGTACATTTTAAAAGTTCAGGAGATGTTTATGAGCAACCTGGGTTCTGACTCTTCCACGTGCACTTGTTGAAAGCAAATATCCACCCAGATGATCCCATTTAATTAAATGGAAATACACACGAGTCACTGCAAGTAGGGGAGGGAGCAGGAGGGAGGCAGACCTCCCTCCTCCAGGGGCTAGTGCAAAGAGCATTCTTGGAATGATCCCCCTTCCAGACAACCTGTCCCCAAATCCTGCACTGGGCAATACTGGATGTTGTTTTGAGGACAGGCAATGTAAAAAAAAAAGAATTACAATCATTAAGGAAAGGATCAAAAACTTGTGGTTTGAATAGGGATAAACCTAAATCTTTTTTTCTTTTCTTAAAAAAAAAAAAAATAAAGCCCGTACAAAGCTTTACAGGCCAGCAGAGAATGGGTTGAACATGAGCTCTTACCGTTGAGGGTTGCAGAGAATCTATACCAAGGTAAATCAAGCAGGCAAGCAGTAATATCCACTGAGCAGCCGCGGACACGAGGTGCAGCGTGTTCCTAACCTGTCCTCTTTGCCAGCTCTGCCACTCATCCTCTGCAGGTTCCCTTTCACGATCCATCTGGTCTTGATTTCTTGGCTCTACATCTGGCTGTCCTTCCATCTCAGCCACACTGCCAGCAACTGCTGGGGAAGGGGCCAGGAGCACAGCAGGAGCCTGGAGGAGCAGAGGGCAGATGAACTAGGTGCTCCTGTCCTGGGAGCAGACATGAAGTGAAGACAGTGCCTTCAGGAGACTGCTTTATGCACACAGAGAAGCAGGCGGGGGAACTTCTTTGTGACTAATCTGAATTTCCCCTTCCTTCCTTCCTTTCTTTCTTTTCTTTTTTTCTTTTCTTTTTTTTTGTTTGTTTTTGTGTGAATGTGGGGGCTGATTTATTGCATCCCAGTTCAGTTTTGAGCAAGGGCCTTTGAAAGCAGATGTGTTTATGTCTTTCATAGCTTCAGCTGTGGATGTCTTGATATGTGATGTTTCCAACAATAGCTAAGATTTGGGTGGACAGTGCTTGTCTTCACTTAGTCTTTTGTCAGTAAAAGCTCTCATCTTTCTGTTCAGTCTCAGGTGGGGGGTTTATAGGGCTGGCTCCCTCCCTTGTTAGCAGTATATAATGCTGCTGAAATCTCTTCTGTAAAGAAGCAATGAATAGGAAGGGATGTGAGACAGGTGGACAGCATAAAGAATTTGAGACAAAATATGCACTTTCCATTTCTCTTCACCTTTGTCTTCTGACTTTAAAGCCATGGGATGCTGCACGAGGGAGCATCTCCCTAGAGGGAGAAAATGGAGAACTGCTCAGGGAACATCCCTTTTTGCACACACTGAAACCTGCAGTCCAGGGAGTGCACTTGGAGGGGCACCCCTGGGCCATCCAGGCTTCCCTCCTGGAAGAGGATTGCCTGTCCCTTGGGACACCATCACCTCCCCTTCGCTTGGTCTCCTTGTGACATTTGCTTGTGATGCACAGAACTGCTAAATGTCAGTTTTCTGCAGTAGGGACCATCTCCTGTGCTTATTCTGGGTGACAGGCTTTGCATCCTTTTTTTTATGGCAGTCCAGCACCACTCTTTCCACCACTCTTTTAGCCAGAATTTTTTCTGTTGTAAATTAGCATATCATGACTGAAGTCAGGCGCTGCCTCCTCCCGGCGAGGATTGAGCCCATTGGGAGTGTTATCATCTCTCTGTCTTTCAGGGATGAGTTGTCAGAAAGTTTCCCGTCTTCAAAATGTGCTCTCTCAACCTGTCACAAGGCACATGTCCTGACAAACATGTACTCTGCATGCAGAGGAAGCAAGAGTAATGTTCTTTCATGTGTTTTTCCATCTAGGCAAGGATATTTCCTATAAACATAAACCAAATGAAGGGGGGAGTACAGCAGCTGGGTAAGCAACCTGCCGTGAGGACACCCCACGCTTGCCACCCTTGTTCTTGAAAAATAAACTTGAGTTGCCGGTAGCTGGTGGATTGAGTCAGGAATACACTCTGGTATTTGTCTCTAGAGCAAACCAAAAGTCATGGAAACTTGCTGAAGAAGGTTCAGCTTTCACATTTTCCATTGGCACTTGAGTGTGTGGAAATTCTCGTCCCGCTTTCACCAGCGGCCACTCGCCAGGGCGTGCTGGAGCCCCCCAGCTGAGCCCCAGCCCGATGAGAGGCCCTGGGAACAACCCTAACCCTCCTTCCTCATCCAGAAATAAGACTGGAGCCGTGGCAAGGAGAGTTTGTGCTGCCTCTGAGCAGTTCCCTCTGATTCAGAGTGTGAGTTTGGAGGCAGGACTTTGACACCTAGCGGTCACACAGCGCCTGGGAGCCCGGGCAGCCCCGCAGCAAGCTCAGCATCTGCCGTGACTGGGCTCGGGCTTGGCCAAGCCCTGCAGAGGAGTGAAGCGATACCGTGGGGTACTGCGGAGGCCTGCTGAGGCTGGGGGGACGTGGAGAAGGAGATTGTTTGCTTCCGTGGATCTGCAACGTCCTGCCATGTCTAGGTGCTTGCTTAAAAGGTCCCCAGAAAAACATTCACCCTACTTGGACACCCTGGTGTCCATCCATAAGGGGCTTCGTGATGTGGGTGAGCCCACAGAGACTCTGGAGATGGGGAAATCTCAAATGTGGCTTCAGAGCAGCTTCCTCATGGGGAACAAAGCCAGCTCTGGGTCCTTCCCCCATGGGCTGGGGTCTCAGCCGCCTGCAGTGCAGATGGATGGCAGTGGTCACTGGGAGGCTGGGACCCAGATGTCCCAGTCCCACAGGAAAGGCAAAACAGGCTTGGGGGGGGCTGTCTGGGCTGCGCAACGCCTGAGCAAATGCTTCCTCAAGCCCGGAGGTCCCTGCCGTGGGGATGTCTCAGGAGCAGTGTCCCCAGACCCCCATAACTTGCAGTCCCCACAGCTGAAGCTGCAGCTGAAGCAGGCAGGCACGGAGGAGGGCTGTGGGGCCAGGGCTGCCCCATACCTGCATTCGTACACGCAGCGAGAGCCGCCAGCGAGTGACTGCAGAGGCAGCCAGCTGCAGGTCTTGCACAGCCTACCAACAAACCTGTAGTGTTTCAGTGGGGAATCACTGAATGAGAGCGCACGATCATCATGCCACAGCTGCCTTCCTGGAAGAGCAGGCATTGCTGTGTATCAGAGCAGCTCTGTTGAGCGCAGCCAGCCTGGGCTGTTATGCCCTGTGCGCTCCCTCCCTGCTTCCTCCAGGAAAGGAAACTTGGTTTTGCTGTTTGCTGCTTAGTTTCTGCAAAAATGCCAGAATGCTGAGCTAAGATGTTCCAAACTCATGTGATCCCGTAATTCTCACATTTTGGGTACATGCCTTTGAACCAGAAACGAGCTCTTGCCCATCTCCATCTCCTCCCTCCCCGACTCTGGATCTTGCATTGGTTTTCTTTCTAAAACCCTTAAAAAAATGTGGGTGGAGGTTGTGCATATGTATTTCTGAAATAGCCTCGTCATTTCTGTACTCCCCCAGTGCAAGTGTCGCTCAGCCTGGGTTAACAACACTGGTAGCACTGAGGATCAAAAGCTACATTTCAGGTAATGTATCTGGCATTGTGTCCGAAACAGGAAAGATGACAGCTCATTCAGAGGCATCATAAACACCTATGTACAGACTGTCTTTTGCGGTTTTGATCGCCTTCAGCTTGTCCTCCTGCCTTGCATATGAAAACCCAAGTGCATGCAAATTCGGTGGCTTTAGACATGTGCTGTCAGAGCCCCTGCTCTCCCTCCTAGAGGAAACCCTCCTGGCCTTTGGCACCCCGACACATCACAGGCTTGCTGCACACACCCAGCAGTTGCCAAAATTTGCTGCATTGATCAAAATTATTTTGGTCCTTCTTCCACAGGGACCCTAAAGATGGAGTCTCTTTGGGTTTTTCACAACCCTTTCCAGTCATCGTGCCATTCTAGTGACAAGGCAAGCAGGCAGGCTGAAGTGGCTTCGCAGCTCCATGAGCCTGTTGGCACTCTGCAGCAGACCCTGGTTACTTGGTCATCTCAGTAGTTTTCCAAAGAAATGCCTCTCAGTGGCACATGCAGCAACGTTATTCCAGCAAGTACTGAAGGAAACCGGAGTTAGTTGGCAGTATGGCTTGCTGGGTTTTTTTTGACAACGATCCAGTATCTCTTACATTAGGCTGTCATTTCTGGGCTTTCCCAGACTGGGAAGCTGAGTGTTTTAAAACCTTGGCTAAAGCATGTTGGTCACAGTCAAGGCTAAATCCTGGTCATTGCTGCACCAGGTCTCAGATGCAGCTCGGAGCCCCAGCCTGCCAATGCCCCTGTGCCACAAGGCTGCTGTGCTCCAACCAGTGGGATGGGGCAAAGAGCATCTTCACCACAGACCACAGGCCCTGGCCCGTGCAGAGCACCCCATGTGTGGGAGTCACAGGGCGGGGGCCCGTGCCCAAGGCCTGGCAGCCCTTGCTGGCACCCTCCTCAATTTAGTTCCCATTTCCCGGGAAAGTGCTCTCACCACCCCAAAAGGAGGAATTGGGGAATTATATAGGAGAGTTTAACTTCTCAGAAAAACAGTGGAACAACTGATTGAACTGTTTGTAAACATCTAGAAGGAAAAAAGGAAATGAGTAGCAACCAGTGTGGGTTTCCAAGAACAAAACCTAATGTTGTCTTGTGGGGCAAGGAAGCCTCTTGGGCAGAGGAGTAGCTTTGGGTATTCACTTCAGTAATAGTTTTGACTCTCTTTTTCATAATATTCATGAAGCATGGTCTGTATGAAACTGCTGCTCAGCAGAAGCGGAGCTGGTTGAGTGATTATTGATGGTTTGTTGTCAAAATGGAAGGACATACCTTGTCCTCCTGGGACCTGCCCTTCTCCAATGTGCCCTCCACCTTGTGGATTCTCTGGGCCCTCTGGCAAGCCAAGCAGGAATGGGGACGTGCTCATGGGTGACATCTGGCCTGTCGGCTCTTGCTGGTAGTCTTTGCCTATAATTTAAAGGTTTGACCTCCACTTGGAATAAATTACCAGGAGAGCAGTGCTGTTGCTCTCATTGCTGCAGTCAAGTAATTACAACTTACACCCGGTGTTGGGCTGTCTTCTTGTGTGCGGTTGCTTATTTTCCACCAAGGCTGTCTTTGCCACGAGAATAACTGGTCACATGGTTTGATTTAGTAAAACAGTGGGAAATAGCAAAGGAAGCCTTACAGTTCTATAGGAGGGGGAAAAAAGCAGTGTTACAAAGGCAAGACTTTCATCCAGGTCCTGCTGCTCAGCGTGTGCCCCAGCTTTTGCCGTTTAATGTTTCCGTCCACTCCAGAAATAAAGTATTTTGTAACTAAGCCAGATTTATTTATCAAAGGTAAGGAATTTTGCCTAAAAAGCTTGTGGACTCCTGCTCCAGTGTCTCTGAACCACGTGAACTCTCTCTCACCCTTGATTTCACTTCCATGTGGCTTTTTCTTGCTCCTTGCTTATAGCCACTCTTTGGCTGACGTGTGTGTCAAGGATTTCTGCTAGCAGAGGCATTGAGCCAGTAGAAAGGTGTTTATGTTAGTCAGGCTACTTTTGGCAGTGTAAAATAGAGAAGGAAATTGTGAAAAATGCTGTGAAATCACAAATAAAAATTTTGACATTTAGGTGGAT